GCCGTAATCGTGCCCCGCGTCGTACTGGGGATAAGGGAGGAGTCTTGGGCCGACTCTCCACAGTCGGCCTCCCTGGAAGTCGCCATCTTGGAGTCGGCTTATCTGGGAGTCGCCGCCTGGGACTCGGCATATCTTGGAGTCGCTCCTGGGACTCGGCCTGAGGGGCGCGGCCGGCCCCGATGTCTTGAAATGTCCTGGGCCTCGGGTTAGCCTACCCGTGGCCCATTACTCCGACAGTAGTCCCCGAAACTGGTGAAACCCTGCGGTCGCTGCATTGCGGGGCTTCAACAGCTTCAATCTTTAAAAGTGCAGACTCTGGAACTCGGCTGTCGTCTTCCCTTCGGCCGACTGTCGAAAGTCGGAACTTCGGTGGAGAGCCTCAGTTCGAAGGTCGCGGCGGGAAGCCAGGCGGCGTGCCTGATACGCTTCCCCGCAGCCATCGGGGCGGTCCTATCGCGTGGCGCCACGTGGGGAGAACAGTCTGCCTGCCCACGCGCGCGACGGGACGGGCCGTCAGGCGGGGCCTGCCAGTACCGCGCCTCGGCATACGGACGGATCCGCTGCGGCCGAGGACGGTTGATTTTCCCACGTCGTTACTTCGCGCAGTAACTTCGTGGGTAAATCGTGGGTGGCGTGGGGCATCGCACGCAGTTAATCCCACGCCCGCCCCCTCGGCTCCTCAGCCCGCAGGGCTATAAGTAGGCTGGGGGAAGCGGAGCGGCACAGCTTGCGCGCCTTTCTTCCCCGCTCCCCCGCCTCATCTTGCTTTCTCTTCCTCCTTCCTCCGCCGTCGAGCAGGAGCACCTCATTCCGCGGCGATGAGCTCTTCCTCTGCCGCGGCCTCTGCCGTGCGCTCCGGCGTGTGGGACGGCTCGGAGGTAGAGGAAGAACACATCGAGTTCCTCCGTCAGACCCGCCGTCTCCCCAGCGCGAACCTCGTGCGCGCTCGCGCCGCGCCGGAGGGGGAAATCCGGCCGGCGCCGGAAGAGGGCGAGCAGGTTATCTTCCGCTCGCACCTTATGCGCGGCCTGGGGCTGCCGGCGAGCGGCTTCTTCCGCTCATTCCTGGAGTTCCACAGCCTTCAGCCGCACCACCTCACACCGAACACGGTGGTGCTGCTCTCCGCCTTCGCAACCCTGTGCGAAGGTTTCCTCGGCGTTCTCCCCACCATCGAGTTGTGGGGAGAATTCTTCTCTTCTAAGCCCAGTGCGGCGCCTTCATCGCGATGCGGCGCTCGACGGCCGACAACCCCTTTCCTCCCATCACGCTGATCAAGTCGGTGAAGACGTGGCAGCGCTCGTACTTCTACGTGAAGAATCTCGCCTCCGACGGCGACTGGGTCAACTTGCCGCCTTACAACGCCGCTCCCCTGACTGGGCGGCTCCCCAGCTGGTCCCACCGAGTCAAGACGCTGACTCCCGTCGGAGCCGCCGCCGTGGCGCGACTCCGAGTCTTGACGCAGTCGGAGGGACTCGTCGGGGCCGACTTGCTGGCCGCCTTCGTGGTGCGCCGAGTTCTCCCGCTCCAAGGCCGGCCTCACCTGATCTGTCAGATGAGCGGCCTCCGAGACCCAAGTCGGATGAGCACCAAGGAGATGCCCCGCAAGGAGGTGGCGAACATGGTGAATTACATCGCGCACTACGAGTACGAGGAGGACTGGCGGTTCGGCAAGGAGCCGTACTCGCGCGACAACCCTCCACCAGTAGTAAGTCGCGTCTCCCTGCTGTTTTATCTTTTTTCCGCAGCCGACTCCGGCTTCTGATTCTTGTTAGCTTCTTCTGAACTAGAATCTTCTTATCCAGCCTGTCGCCGGCGCCACGAGGCAGCCCCGCAAGTATGTTCCCGACCGCGCGGAGAGCGACGTCGACGACCCTGACTTGGGTGCGGCGGCGATGGAAGCCGACGCCGAAGGCGGGGGAGGAGGGGCAGAAGGCGACCTCAGGCCCTCGGCCACCTTCGCCGACTGGCCTGATGACGACGCCGAAGGCGAAGTCGCTCCGCGCCACCAGCTGAGGATCGGCCCGTCGGGCGCCGGCTCCTCCGCCGGCCAAGGCGGCGCGAAGAGGCGTCACACCGGGCCGAGTGCGCCCGGCGGCAAATTGAAGAAGTTCAAGGGGGCGGCCGCCGCGACCAGACGAGAGGAGGCGGCCGCGAAGGCCAACCGCTTCCGAAGGGAAGTGAGAAAGCCGCCGCTAGTATCCGCGTAAGTCTTTACACTCTTTTATTTTCTTTGTTGAATCTTGTCCGAGTCTTCGTTTATATACTCCCTCCATTCTTCTTCAGGGCCCCTCTTTCCCTTGAGAGAGTCGCTGTCCCCTCCGTCATGGGGTCGGCAGAGACATCCGCCAATACTCGGCGGCCCGACCCTGCCGCCGACCTCCGGGAGGCGACGGAGCGGAATGCGCGGGAGAAGCGCGAGGAGGAGGAGGCCGCGCGTTTGGAGAAGGCGGAGGCCGACAGGGCGGCCGCCTCCGCCCAGAAGAAGCTGGATGATGCCGAAGCCGCCCTTGCGGCGAGATGGCGCGCCGAGGAGGCCGCGCGTCGCCAATCGGCGATGCTCGTCCCCCCACTATCGTCTGCACCGCCGCCTCCGGAGTTCACGGGGCAGACCGGGGGAGCCGGCACCGAGAACCCCGTCGCGGAGAAGGAGAGCGGCGAGGCCTCCATGTCGGATGCTCTCGTGCCGCCGCCGCCTCCACCGCCGTCTGGGAGGCCGCACGGCAAACAGCCGGTGGAGCCGTCGGAGCAGCCGGCCATGGACGAGGCTGAAACGCGGCTGCTTCTTCAGGTCGCCTCGCCGGTGCGTCGTCGGCTTGAGAGGGCGACCTCGGCGCCGCAACCTCGGGAGATCACCGCTGCCAGCTCGGCGGCTCTAGACGCGGATGCCACAAGCGCCGCTCCCACCGGGTGGGTGCGCGGAGGCGGCACCGGGCCGCTAAATCAATTGCTCCTGGAAGTCCAGGCGAAGTTGCGGGCCGAAGGCGACGCCCTTCAGGCTTGCACCAGAGCGCACCT